GCTCACCAGGAGGGCTGGGGTCCTCCACGCCGGCCTGCGAGGACCCCCAGGTTTCCTGGACGTTTGATGGGTGCGGGGTAGGGTGCTGTGGGGTGGGATGCTGGGTGCCTGTCCCCTCTCATCCTCTTCTGTGCTCAGTAAAACCCCCAGCACTGGGCACTGCAGGGAGCTCTGGCTCTGGGACTGCGCAAGGGAACAAAGCCGAGGGGGCTGCTGCGCAGTAGAAGAGGACAAGGGACAAAAGGGACGAGGTTTGACTCGACCTCCACCCGTGAGACCGGACATGGTCGGGTCTGATTTGGGGTGCGAGCAGGAGGGCACAGGGCTGGCGGACATGGGCTCTGGGCCCCTGCTTGGGCTTCTTAGAATCCTAGAATTGTTTAGGTTGGAAAAGACCTTTAAGATCATCCAGTCCAACCATTAACCTAACATTACCAAGTCAATTCTTCCTCCCTTAGAGGCTGCAGATGTCTGACCACTGCCCAAGGCTTTACCCGAGCTATTTCTTGGTGGAACAGGAATATTTAGGTACGGGGTTCTGGCATCTCCGAGCTTGGCTGCAGGCGACTAGGGCCACATTGGCAGCCACAGGCATCACCAGCGTCAGGGGCCCCAACACCCCTGTCTCTGCCCAAGCCTCCCACCGCAGACCCAGGACCCTCCACAGCCCAGTTCCAGCTGAGGATTTTAGGAGCAGGTGGAGCAACTTTTGGAAGTGTTTCTTCCTTTCCTTTGGCCCTAGAGGGAGCTGAGACGCCTGCTTTGGAGGCACACCGCTTCCAGAGCTCGGCAGAGGCTTCCAGCTTTGGGGCCAACAGTGGGGCGCGATCCCCAGCGAGGGGTGAGCGGCCGCAGCCCCCCATTCTGGGCTGCCCCAGGGATGGGTGCAGGCTGTAGGTCATGGAAAGCAGCCACGTCTCGCTGTCTCCTGGGAGAGCAGAGGGACCAGCAGCACAGCCACGTCCTTGGCTCTTGAGTTTGTAGAGACACCGGAGCGAAGCTGTCTGGCCACATATCCTCGCAGACCCTATGTTTCTCCAGGGACTTTTCCAAAGGTTTTCTTTGCATCCCTACTGCGTGGGATGGAAACCAGGGGACTGACCAGCGGCTGACCGGCACTGGTGAGGCCACACCTGGAATACTGTGCCCAGTTTTGGGCCCCTCAGTACGAGAAGGACATTGAGGGGCTGGAGCGTGTCCAGAGAAGGGCAACGGAGCTGGGGAAGGGTCTGGAGCACAGGGC